CCTCAGCCTCCCAAAGGCGCGGGATTACAGGCTGAGCCACCGAGCCAGGCTGAAACCCAGACTTTTTGTTGCACCTCTGCTGAAGGTGTGGACCATCCCACCCCCTCACCATTGTAGCCATCCTGGTTGAGGTCGCCCAGGGGTGCGATGGCAGAGCCAAACCGCCCGTAGAGCTGCGTCCCGGTCAGCAGGAGTCTGGGGGCGCCTAGCGCGTGGGGGCCTCGGGGCTGCAGGAACAGGTACACCCGACCAACTTCGGCCAGCTTGCGGTCAGCCCGGCTCTCCATGTACAGTGGGGCACCCACCAACAGGTCGTGTCTCCTGCGGGCCAGACGGGGTTACACAGGCCAAGCCTGGCCATGTCCAGGCTGGGGCTGAATCTCACCCGACCCCGCTCTCCCACTCCCCTGGGTGGATCTGTGAGAGTGGGGCTAGGAAGGGAAGAGTCGGAGGTCACTGGGGACTCAGCTGGGGGGTTCCTCTCCTCACCCATCTCCGTTGACGTCAGTGACGGCCACGGAGTGCCCGAAATAGGAAGCCATCTGCCAGAAGAGAGGAGCCCCTTAATTCACACTCCCGGACCCAGCACCTCCTCTTAGACATGGGCCCTCGCACTCCAAGAAGCAACCAGGGTCTCAGTCCCCCCCACCCCTTGGCTGTCCCCCTGGGACCTGGTCCCACCTGTTCTCCATGAAGCCGGTGCAGTGTCTGGTAATAGGAGTCCAAGATTTCTACCTATAGGGACACAGGGGAGCGGGTCACTGTTGTTCCCAGTGGCAGCGTCGCTCCAGGTGAGAGAGGTCAGCAGGTTTTGGGGTGCTGCCAGCCTGAGGCCTGGGGCCAGGGGCTTCGGGATACCCAGCGGCCGAGCGAGGGGGGGCACTCACCGCTCCCAGGGTCCAGCTCCAAGTAGGGGCGCCTAAGACATACTCTGGGGAGAGCCAGGGGGGGGGTTCCTGGGAGCTGCTCCTCTGGAGCTGGGCCTCCCCCCTCCCCCCGCCCCGACCAAGTGGATTTCTTGCCTGTGGTGCTGAGATCCCCGTCGAACTCGCCCACGGCCACCGAGTAACCTGAGGACACAGCGCTAATCAGGGAGCAGAGAGGGGGCCGAGAGCAAGGAGCGAGGGGACGCCAAGGCCACCCGGCCCAAGCACTGTGCAGATGGGAAAGCCGAGGCTAGCAAAGGCCAAACCGGCCCTGGGTGCCGCGCGAAAAGGCG